AAATTTGCTAAATCTGTTGTTTTTATTGTTGTTAGTGTTTCTTGGAGATCAAGTTTCCTAGGCTTTGGCTTCGCTCATCTCCTTGGTCTTGTCTACAGCTGTTTTACTATAAGAATGGAAAAGGTTGTGACCTTTGATGTTATTACCAATGACTTCCATCAGAAGATGAAGTCTCTGGATTATGAAGAGGCTACAACAGTGTTAAATGAGCATTCTGATCTTGATCCTGCCTTGGTTGTTAATCCTTTGGACTCTCTGAACATGTTTCAAAGCTTACAGAAAGAGTGCAAGGTGACAAAGTTCTAGTGGAAGACGCTCAAGTCTAGATGTGAGCCATTTAGGAAATGAGCCGATTTCATGCTTCACAACCCTATGTTTGCTCTACAACTACATGAGTTAGGCCTATGGAAATTTACTATTCTTTTGGCCTTGTCGAAGAGCAACAAGTTAGGATTTATGAATACCCTCGCAATGTAGTGGTCGTCAAGCCCGCATACCTTCATTACTACATGGAGCGAGTTTATAGTGACTGTAGACGGCATGGTTGTGTTGTTGTATTCCATATTTGGGTGAACGGCATCTGGGGGCAATGTTCTAATGAAGGTCACTTGCCCAAGGATGCTGATGCCCTTCATCATGCCCTTCTTGCCCAAAGCGCTAGTGTCTTATTTCGCTTTGGTCCTAATTTCTGGTTTAGTAAGGCAAGAGTCGTTAAGGCTATGTTTAGTTTGAAGGAAAAGGTAGGGAAAGGAAAGGAAACATAGGGAAATCTATACAACGTTTGCAAAGGTTTCCCTATATTTCCCTTCCTTTCCCTACTTTTTCCTTAAAACCAAACACAGCCTAAGGGTGGGGGAGCTGTTCACTTAGTGCAAGTCCTCCTGAGGAAGGCTATTAGCGAAGCCATTTTAAACTCGCTACTCAGATTGTGGTGGGGAACACTCCCCCTTTTTTATCAATAACTGGAATTGATTAGATTAAAAGAATTTAGTTACAGCGCTCCAAAGAGAGATAAACAGTCTTAACTCTCTCCAGGAAGATAACAAAAAAGAAAAAGTTACAGAGCAGCCCAAAACATTTGATCCCTTCCCACCCCCTGCTTTGCCAAAGCATTAGCAAATGCATTTGCTGTTCTCTTGACCCACTGAAACTTGATTTCCAGTCCTCTAGTTAGCCACTTAATCTCCCTCCTCTCATTAGCATATTTCCCAAGTCCACTACCTTCTTGTAACCAACTTTAAGACCAGCTTTAAGTCCCCTTCAATGACTAATTTTTGTATATTCAGTTCCTTAGACTTCCTTTAGCTTTAGATTTAATGTTTCTTGTGTAATTTGAATGTAAGCCAATAGGCATGAAACAATCTGTAAGCTCTGAAAATCAGGGGTCTGGATGCCGAGAGTCTTTGTGTGGGCAAGGGCATTAGGGAGGAGAAGGAAGAGAGGACTCAAGGGCAAGAGTTTGCTCAAAAGGTTATGTCCTAGCAGGAGACAAAATTCCATATTTATAGAAAAAAGTTTTCCAATGCAGACATGCACAGCTTTAGGGACAATCCCCAATTACTCCCAGTTGGTTGGGGCAGCAAATTTCAGGTTGCTTCAATGGGGCACGCATAAAGTGGGGGACCACTGACCTGCATTGGCTTTCCCTAACACCACTCTCCTGCTCTCGCCACATGGCACAATCTTGGGGTGGGGGTCTACCACATGTTACATGTTGCTTCTTGTGGAGTGAGTCACAACACGATCTTCGGTGAAGCCAAGAGAGAGGTGAAGCTGGGGGAGAGACAGATAGGCAAAGCTAAGGGCCAACGAGTCCAAGGTTTTGGTCCTCACAAGCTCCGTGACAATGAGGTCAAGGAAGGGTTATCTTGAATGGCAGGCAAATGCATTCTTGTTTCCGAGACCGAGTTCGCATCATCAGTCCCTAGGGGCAGAAAATTTTCCATCCCGTCCAATTAAAATCGAATGTGTCACCCTCTCCCTCTTTCATTTCAAACTGACAGAGTCTAGACCTAATGGTAGTCTGGCCTCCAAAAAAATTATGAAATCCAATTAATCCGCTTCTTTCTCTTTTCTCATTCCCTCTCTCTTCTCTTCTCCTCCCTCCCCATTGTCCCTACACAGCATCAAACTGCCCCCACAACCCGAATCACCACTGACTTCCACAAGAATTTATGTTCCAAGGACTAATTCTGATTTCCCAAAGCGGGCCTTAACTCAAGAGTTTCACTTTTCGTTGTCAAGTTATGTGGCGAGATGCATTCTGCTTCCGCAAGCTGATTAAGTTAATAATTTACAACCAAAAAGAAAACATGACTGTATAGAAAACACCCCAATCAAAATCAAAGAGGAAACTACTTTTTCACCTGGTTTCTCATCCTCATTCTCTGTCAGAATCACCTCTGTTAGAAAGAAGAGAGAGGGGTGATGCCGAAGGAGGAATTTCAACCTAATGTCTATGGTTCCCATGAAAGAATGGGAACTCACCTTCTCAAACAAAGATGGGTAGGAATGTACAAAATCATCAAACCCGTCTTCGTTCTTGCTCGATTTGTACTCCTCCAGCACGTTAACCGCTTCTGACAACCACACCTCTCCTTCCAAATACCTTACCACCTATCTCATTGTCGGACGTGACACAAGATCACTACTGGAGCACATCAACCCTAACTTGAGCACCATCACAACCTCAACTTTGTTATAAACCCCATTCAACCTTGGGTCTACCACATCACCCAAGATGCCCCCTTCTGTCCATCTGTCCCATACCCAATCCACCAATATTAACTCTTCTGGCAACACTTTTGGCTCAATGGATCTCCACGCGTAAGTCACCTCAACAAACAAAGCACCATAGTTTTCAAGGCACCAAGGCGAGGCTAGGCAACTGGGGGGCGCCTTGTCGCCTAGGCGATGGATTTTTTATGTTAAAAACATAGATCCTAGGGTAGTTCCCTAGGTACCATAACCATATTTCTTTAATA